ATTGAAGAGGAATCCGTGGGTGTCTGCAGTTCTTGCAGTCTGTTTACTCCACGTTCGGCTTCTCCTTTCAACTAAATCTGTCAACACGGCCGGAGAACTTCTTAGGCGAGCTCGAGTTATGGGACGAGGCTGAAAAGGTAGGTGGGACGGAGCACTGACTCTGGGGAATGCCAGCGTGGCCGCAGTCACCTGGTGCGAAGGGCGGCGCCCTGCCGTGGGGTTGGACGTGGGAAGCTGTGGAACAAACACGCCAGCTGTAGAACGCAGTTACCCAGCTGTCCCGTCACGGTGATGACAGCAACACCGTACGTGCGTTTCACACTTCACAGTTCATAGCAAGGTCTACTCTTTCCAGTGCCAATCACTTATAACCGCTGTCATTGTTTGTTTTAAATATATTTGTATTGATTTCAGAAAGGAAGGAAGAGAGAGAGAGAAACATCAATGATAAGAGAGAATTATTGATCAGCTGCCTCCTGCATGTCCTCTACCGGGCATGTGCTCTTGACCGGAATCGAACCTGGGACCCATCAGTTCGCAGGCCAATGTTCTATCCATTGAGCCAAACCAGCTAAGGCTGGGTTTTTTTGTTCTTTTTGAATTTAGTTTTTTTCATATATATACATATATATATATATTTTATTGATTTCAGGGAGAGGAAGGGCGAGAGAGAAACATCAATGAGGAGAGAGAATCATTGACTGGCTGCCTCCTGCACGCCCCGTACTGGGGATTGAGCACGCAACCAGGCACGTGCCCCAACCAGGAGTAGAACCGCGACCTCCTGTTTCATAGGTCGATGTCATGCCAGCCAGGCACGTTCTCATCTTTCTCTTTTCTTTTCTTAACAGCAACTGCAGAAGAGCTTGATGGAATTTGGAAAACCATGGAAGCTGAACCCAGGAGATGGAGCATTTTATGGCCCTAAAGTAAGTGGACCCTGTGCTTCAATAAAGAGGACGGTGGAAAAGAGAAATAGAAACCGTGTCTAAGCAAACCTCACCTGCTTTGCAGATTGACATCAGCATCAAGGACGCCCTGGGCAGGTCCCATCAGTGTGCGACCATCCAGCTGGACTTCCAGCTCCCGCGGAGGTTTCATCTCACCTATGTCAGGTGAGTGGTTGGACGTGGGGAACAGTGCAGGCGACATCCTCGTCACGGGGCGCTGTGAGCGTCGAGAGCTCTTTATAGAGTCTAGGGGTAAGCCCTTGGATGTGTATGTGATTTGCTAGTATTTTCTCCTAAGCTGTCGCTTCTTTTTTTTTAAGTATATATACATACATATGTGTGTGTGTGTGTGTGTGTGTGTGTGTGTGTGTGTGTGTGTGTGTGTTGATTTCAGAGAGGAAGGGAGAGGGAGAGAAACATCCATGATGAGAGAGAATTATGGTGGATCGGCTGCCTCCTCTACGCCCCACACTGGGGAATCAAGCCCGCAACCTGGGCATGTGCCCTGATTGGGAATCAAACCATGACCTCCTGGTTCAAAGATGGATACTCAACCACTGAGCCACCCTGGCCAGGCTGTAGCTTCTTCTTCTTTTTTTAATAGTGCCTTCACTTTCCCTTTCATTTTAAGTTTTGTATTTCACTGATGTCTAAGTCATAGATTTTTTCTCTTACGGATCATGTTTTTGGCATCATGTCTGCACACTTTTTGCCTAAGCACAGGCAATGAAGATGTCCCCTACGTTTTATCTTTAAGTTTTCTAGTATTGAGTTTCACACATACGTCTAAGATCCATTTGGAGTCCAATTTTTGTCTGAGATGTGAAAGTTTAGGTCAGAGTTCATTGGTTACATCTGGATGTCTAATTATTCTAGCACCATTGGTTGTAGAGAGCATCCTTTCTGCATTGACTTGCTGTTGTACTTTTATCAAAAATCAGTCAGGCCCAGCCGGTGTAGCTCAGTGGTTGCACATCGACCTGTGAACCAGGAGGTCATGGTTATATTCCCAGTCAGAGCACATGCCTGGGTTGTGGGCCCCACCCCCTGTAGGGGGCGTGCAGGAGGCAGCCGATCAATGATTCTCATCATTGATGTTTCTCTCTCTCTCTCTCACTTCTTCTCTAACATCAACAAAAAGTGTATTTTAAAAAAAAGAAAACCCTGAAATGTGTCATTTTCCTTTTTAGTAAGGACGGGGATGACAAGAAGAGCCCTGTGATCATTCATCGAGCCATTCTGGGTTCAGTGGAGAGAATGATAGCCATCCTGTCGGAAAACTACGGGGGGAAGTGGTAAGTGACGTGGAAAAGGAAACGTGTCTGTTATTCCTTAGAAGTCACATCTGAGAGATCAAACGAACATGAAAAAAACTGGTGGCTCCTGCCTTATCATTAGCCAGCATGCACACGGCAAGTAAAAAATTCCCTTTCCCGCTGCCGAGTCAGAAAGTAAAGGCCGAGCAACATGAAACTGTCTGATTTGCCTTCCAGGGAACTCAGTAGACTTATAGAGTCATGTTCTCACCATTTCAAGCCTTTGAAAGTTGGAACCTGGGAATCACAAGGCCCACACTCCCAGGGGGGTACCCCCTCCTGCCGCTGCCATCCCTCCTTCCACCCGTGGTGTTTGCCTCGTGGGGCGCCCTGTGACCACTGACTTTGGAGGAAACCCTGCAGCACAAATGGCCCTGAGCAATACGTTGGCACAGACCAAAGAGAACTGCTCCCCAAGCCCAGCCCGCTTAGGGGCGAAGTGGGGAAGGAAAATGCCCTCAAGTGCGGGGTGTAATATATATATATATATTTTTAAATTGATTTCAGAGAGGACGGGGAGGGAGGGAGAGAGAGAAACATCAGTGATGAGCCCTAGCCGGTTTGGCTCAGTGGGTACAGCATTGGCTTGCAAACTGAAGGATCCCAGTTTCCATTCCAGTCAAAGGCACATGCTCGGGTTGCGGGCTCGATCCCCAGTAGGGGGCGTGCAGGAGGCAGCAGATCAATGATTCTCTCTCATCATTGATGTTTCTCTCTCTCGCTCCCTCTCCCTTTCTCTCTGAAATCAAATATTTTTAAAAAACTATTGAATGAGAAAGCTCACAAAAAAATCTTTGGTTATTTCAAATGGTCATTCTGAAAATACCTATTTTTTCTATTTCTCAGGCCTTTCTGGCTGTCTCCGCGTCAGGTGATGGTCATCCCTGTGGGGCCGACTTGTGACAAGTATGCACTTCAGGTAAAATCAGACGCATTTAATGACAAACCTCCTTGTCACCTACTGTCCAATCTAAGTGCACAGCAAAGTGCAGAACAATCTTGGCATCTAGTGTGAGAAGGTTTTTTACCTGAAACGTATTCATGCCTGAAAATACTGCATAACTAATGCATTCACTGCCAACCCATGTTTTCAGCCATTGGGAGTAATGCCTATGTACTGTATCAGAACTATTTTATTTCTGGATGTTTTTGAGAAATTGCTGTTTTAAAACATCTCATATTTGTTATTCTTTTCCATGTGGCTCTATTAGGACAGAATATTTATATTATCTATTGCTGTGTAACAAATTACCCCAAAATTTAGCAGCTTAAAACAATAAACACTTCTTTTTTGTTGTTGTTTAATATATTTTTATAGATTTCAGAGAGGAAGGGGAAGGGAGAGAGAGATAGTAACATTAATGATGAGGGAGAATCACTGATAGGCTGCCTCCTGCACGCTTCCTACTGGGGGTCTAGCCCACAACCTGAGCATGTGCCCTTGACCGGAATCAAACCTGGGACCCTTCAGTCCACAGGCCGATGCAGTAATAGAGCGTTTTCTATTCTTGCAGGTGTCCAGCACATTTTTTGAAGAAGGATTCATGGCCGACGTCGATTTAGATCATAGTTGTACACTCAATAAGAAAATCCGAAACGCACAGCTGGCTCAGTATAATTTTATTTTGGGTAATTTAAAGTTGCATCTGCTCTCCTAAATGCTTGTTTTTTTGCACTTTAATTCCAGAAGCACTTTAATTCCATACTGAAGAAAAACTCAAGACACCGGTCATGTGTCTTGGGGATGGGAGAGGCCCCCAGGCATCCTGCGTGCTCATGTGGCAATTTTTTGCACTTTAATGCCAGAAGCACTTTAATTCCATACTGAAGAAAAACTCAAGACACCGGTCATGTGACTGCTCGCTCAGTCTTTTGTAAATTGTTGATTTACAATGTTATTTCCCTTTCTTTTCTATAGTGGTTGGAGAAAAGGAAAAAGCAAACAATGCTGTCAACATTCGAACAAGGGACAACAGAATTCATGGAGAGATATCACTCGCTTCTGCCATCGATAAATTGAAGAATCTCAAGAAATCGCGTACACTAAATGCTGAGGAAGAATTCTGAAGTCCTTCTTTGCTCTCCCTTCTGTGTTTTGACCCCCCCCCCAAAAAAAATGCATTTTTCTTAATTAAAGTTAGTACTTCTGAGAACTTTGGGCCCACTGATGGTTCCTCTGCCGGGGACAGTGGAAGAGGAGGCAATGAATGAGCAGCCGATATGTATGAAGTTTAATTCACTAATGTGTCTGAGAACAAGCTTGGGGAAATTTTTAATTTCCCAAATGTCTTGAGAGACTTATATGGGAAAATGTTATTCATTGAAAAAAAAAGGGAAATACCAGGAAATGAGGATTATGAAGTGTTATTGCTAAGATTTGTGATTTTCAAAATATAGGTTTTAAATAAAAGTCTGCAACCTCTTTAGAATATGGCAGAACATTTTCTAGTAACAGTATGTTCTCATCTGTTTTAACTAACCAACAACCACAAGAGAAGCTAACACTGAACATTGGGTTATTGACAAAGGACTCGGGTTCAGTATTGTGGAATCTACTGTTTGCCACATGAGCACGCAGGATGCCTGGGGGCCTCTCCCATCCCCAAGGCTGGCCTCCAGGGAGGGACCCAGGCTTTGGACCCTCATCTTACATCCAGGGCTCCTGTCCGGGGGCCTGGGGGCCTGGAATCCTGCTGACTTAACGTCCGGCCTCTCCCAGTCTTAGAGGAACATCTGGACATAACAAGTGTCTTGAACCCATGGCAGCTGTGGAGATGCCAACTGGGTACAGGCTGGGCCAGCCCCAGGATCGCGGGGCCACCTGGCCCACCCGAGAGCCTCAGTCGCTTCCCATACAGTTTGGGACACAGTTTCTTCATCTGCAAACAAGGCCTTTTTAGTATGAAAGGCAATGGAATGTCATCAAAACTGTCGCACAGTACCTAGCCACATATATCCATCCAGCCACATATGAGTGGTGCCACCTCCCCAACGAGCCCGCCTCTGCTTTGCCATTAGGTGTGCATTTCGGTCCCGGTGACCTTTCCTGGTCTCTAGAGGGGCGAGCGCCTCGTCCTCGGGCATAGGAGGCGCCTGGAAACCAAGGCAACCAGGCAGCGTCGCAGCTGCCAGAGCCACCATGCGCCTGCGCCCTGGATGCCTTTGGGGCGAGGGGGCGGGGCCGATACGCTCCCGGCTCCTCCCTTTCCGGCGCGCAGGACGACGCCCCGCCCCGCAGCCGACCTCCAGCCCGCGCCCCGGAAGTGCGTCACGCCGGCAAGATGGCGGCTGCGGCGGGCCGGCCGGGGGTCCTGGGCCGCCTCTGCCGTGTGCTGCTCTTCCTCTCACAGTTTTATATCTTGTCGGGCGGTGGTGAGTTCAAGGCGGGAGCCACATCGGGTCTGGGTCTGGCTGGGTGGCCCGGGGGACCCCCGAGACCCACGGGAAGAGGGCGGAGGGGTGGCGGGGCGCTGCGGCCCAAGGCTGGCCGCCGGTCGGGGGACGCCCCTCGGCGCGGGGACACCTGGGCCGCAAGTTCCCCTACGGGCGGGAGACGGAGGGCTGGGGGCCGGGGTCCCCGACTCCGCGCTTTGCTCCCCAGTTGCCCACGGGCCTCGATGGGCGTGGACCCTATTGGCGTCTTATTCTTCCGCTTTCCGGGCATTTGAGTTTGAGGTCTTTCACGAGCAAGTCACTGCGTGGCGGGGACCCCGCCTTTAACCTCCCGCGGGGGTTTCCCGTCCCGGGGTAACCGGTGTCTCTGATCGTAGGATCCTTAAACCTAGAGCACTCGCAGCCGCGGGCTCGGGCGGTGCGGGATCCGGGCGCCACGCGCACGTTCACAGTGGTTCCCAGGGCGGCAGGTACTAGGCGTCTTACGTTCTGGTAAATGTGTGCACTTCTCTCTGCTGGGTTCTCCCTCGCTTTTTTTTTTTTTTTTTTGGATGACATGTCTTTTAGTGGATGAAATCACTTTCCTTCCCACCCACCCCCTTTTTTATTATCGATTTCAGAGAGAGGAAGGGAGAGGGAGAGAGAGAGAGAGACATCAATGATGAGAGAGAATCACCAATCGGCTGCCTCCTGCACGCCCCCTACTGGGGATCGAGCCCGCAACCCCGGCAGGCGCCCTTTCTAACCGTGTCCTCCTGGTTCCCAGGTCGATCCTCAACCACTGAGCCACCCCGGCCGGGCTAAATGCTTTTTTTCCCTAAGCTGTTGAGCTGTTCATCGGGCCCCAGAGCCGGCTGGGGGCAGAGCCCTGCTGTGGCTGCATGTCTCTCGGGCCCCAGCTCTGCTTTTTCCATGCCAGCCTTGTCTCTCCTTGCTCCCCATCATGCCCCCTGACCTTGGGAAATGGTGTGTCTGTCTGTTCAGACCGTGTCCTGAGAGAATGACCTTGTCTCCCCGGCCCCTTGCAGAAAGCACCGACATCCCGCCCTACGTGATGAAGTGTCCCAGCAATGGCTTGTGCAGCAGGCTCCCTGCCGACTGCGTGGAGTGCAGGACCAACTTCTCCTGTGTCTACGGGAAGCCCGTCACCTTCGACTGCACAGTCAAGCCTTCCGTTACCTGTGTGGTAAGTGCCGCCACCGGCTTGTTCTAGGTGAACTCGCTGTAAACCTGGAGCTCTCAGGAGCGTTTAGACTGGAGGACGGGAAAGATTCTGAAAGAACGTGCTCTGCGTTTTATAAGTAATATTTTAGGGTGAAAGCCAGCTTGATCCAGAGACTGGAGCTTCCAAGGGAGGTTTGGTTACAAGGGTTCAGGAGGCAGTTTTTTTAAATATATGTATGTTTTTTATTGATTTCAGATAGGAAGGGAGAGGGAGAGAGAGAGCGAGAAATATCAGTGATGCAAGAGAATCGTGGATCGGCTGCCTCCTGCACGCCCCCCACTGGGGATCGAGCCCACAACCCAGGCATGTGCCCTGACCGGGAATTGAACTGTGACCTCCTGGTTCATAGGTTGAAGCTCAACCATTGAGCCACGCCATCTGGTCTATTTGAAGGCTTTTAAACTTATGTGTGTGATGGGTCTGGCACAGCGTAGGTACTTAGTGAAAAGGGAAAACTTTGCTGTGGAAGGGGAACCTTTCCAGAATTCACTTCCTTTGTTGTTTGTTTCATCTTCTTTGACTTTATCTCCCAAAACTGACTACTTAGTGAGACATACACTTATTAACTAATTTAAAAAACAGTTGCTGCCTGGCCGACAAACCTATGAACCAGGAGGTCATGGTTTGATTCCCTGTCAGGGCACATGCCCGGGTTGTGGGCTCCATCCCCAGTGGAGGGCGTGCAGGAGGCAGCCGATCAGTAAATCTCTCTCATCATGGATCTTTCTTTTTTTTTTTTTTTCTTAAATATTTTATTGATTTTTTACAGAGAGGAAGGGAGAGGGACAGAGAGTTAGAAACATCGATGAGAGAGAAACATCGATCAGCTGCCTCCTGCACACTCCCTACTGGGGATGTGCCCACAACCAAGGTACATGCCCTTGACTGGAATCGAACCTGGGACCCTTGAGTCTGCAGGCCGATGCTCTATCCACTGAGCCAAACCAGTTAGGGCTCATCATGGATCTTTCTATCTCTCCCACTTCCTCTCTGAAATCAATAATAAAAATATATTTAAAAACAAAAATCAGTTGCTAAGAAATGTGTCTTATAAACGCACCACTATAAATACGCAGATATTTACAGTAGTACTCTGTACAAAAGAGCAGTTTCGCATAGATGAAAAAAATTAATAAATACGATAACTTCCAAAGGAGATTGCGTAACCATTTAAAGGTGGTTTTGAGAAGTACATATGATAATGTAATGTCAAGTGCAGGTAAGAAAGGCTACAAAATGCATTCAGTGTAAGTCCGTTTCTATGAATCTGTATTACAGAAGGAAAAAGTGAAAAAAAAAGTTAAGATAGAGTCTCTCTGGAGAGCTTACAGGGTTTTCCCCCCAGTAATTTCCAAATGTACAACTTAAAAAGAACACGTGCTGTGTAAGCGTAAAAGGGATGGCCTAATCTCCCCGCCCTGAAATAACCTTAGTGATTTTGATGTGCCTTTCTCTAGATGTTTTTCCTATATATTTATGGGTGTATGTTTTTATGATCATAGGATCATACCATATTTATTTGCTTTGGATACATAATGGTTTGTATCCAGATATTTTCTTGCCGCTTCCTGCCAGATCATGAAGTATTTGGCACGCTCTGTGCCATATGACTGTGTAGTTTTGTGGACATATTGATAAGCTGCTCTGTGATGACTGATGAGCTCCGTGTCCTTCGCCACGCAGGATCAGGACTTCAGATCGCAAAAGCACTTCGTCATCAACATGACTTGCCGGTTTTGCTGGCAGCTCCCGGAAACCGACTACGAGTGCTCCAACTCCACCAGCTGCATGACGGTGTCCTGTCCTCGGCAGCGCTACACCGCCAACTGCACGGTGCGGGACCACGTGCATTGCCTGGGTGAGCCGGGTCCGCGGGCCTGGGGAGCAAGCTGCTTTTCTATAAGCTGAGTGTAGAACTTTAGTCAGACATTTGAGAATCCAGGTTAAATTATTTCACCAGGAACATTTATCAGCACTTTGGAGTTATGCCAGGCTTCATTAATACGAAAATGAACTATAAAAATCCAGAACATTTGCAAGGCTCTTATCTTTTAAAATGGAGCAATAAAACAAGACAAAATCCATAAGGTATGAAGTCTAATGCTGTCATTGAATCGTTTATTAATTTTTAGAGAGAGAGGAAAGGAGAGAGAGAGAAACATTGATGTGAGACCATAACATTGATCTGCTGCCTCCTGCACGCTTCCTACTGGGCATGTGCCCTGACGGGAATTGGATCGTGACCTCCTGGTTCATAGGTTGACGCTCAACCACTGAGCCACGCTGGCTGGGCCTGACTTAACATTTAAATTTTAAATCTGCGCTTCGGGATGATCAGGTCTGTCTTCTTACCATTCACTGTAGTGGGCGTTATTGTAAGGAGGCTGAGTTTTTAGATTTTTAGTTACAAGGCCACTCGTTCAGTTAAGTCTCTGTGTAAGGGTATGTTTAGACCCATGTGTCTAAATAGAGAGCTTTCTTTTTCCTTAAAGGTAACCGGACGTTTCCCAAGATGCTGTATTGCAACTGGACCGGCGGCTACAAGTGGTCCACGGCCCTGGCCCTGAGGTGAGCTGTGTCACCAGTAAGCTAGAGGGCCGTTGGGAATTTGTTGGGGTCCGTGGAATCTTCCAGACACTGAGCTCCAACCAGCTCCTCCTTCAGACCTGAGGAAGCAGCTGTGGGAAATGCTTGGGTCAGAACCGGCCCTTTATGGAGTGGAATGTTACCTGTCTCCCAGGAAGCCCGCACATGACTTAGATCTTAGCACGGGAAGGAATCTTGAGTCATTTGTTCCTAACACTATTGTTAGTGATTTCAGAGAGGAAGGAAGGAGAGGGAGAGAGAAACATCAATGATGAGGGAGAGGAACATCATGGATCGGCTGCCTCCTGCACACCCCCTACTGGGGATGGAGCCCACAGCCCAGGCATGTGCCCTGACCAGAGATTGAACTTCGACCTCCTGGTTCACAGGTCGATGCTTAACCTGTGGGCCACGCCGCTGGGCCCTAACACTAATGTTTAGAGATGAGTGACTGGAACAGCTGGACCCGGGGCAGCAGGGGCGGTGGGCTGTTTGCCTTCCAGTGCCAACCCCTGACTCGTGCTCGCACTTTGTTCTAGGGATGTGCCATTTTCCAGAATAAAATGCAAGGAGGGCATTACTTTTCTTTAAAGAGAAACCCTAGGTTTCAGTCCAGCTAAAGGTCGTATGTTTACTGTGGACATTTTAACAGTCTGTGGCCCATGATTACAGCTGGCCTTTGAACGACACAGGGTAGGGTGTCAGCCCCCGCACGGTCAAAAATCCGAGTCTAACTGAAAGCCAGCCCCTCACATACGCTGATCCCACCCCGGATCGGAGATGGAAAATATTGGTGTTGCAAAGTGTGTGCTAGTCCTTGTGATCCCCCAGAGGGTTGGGGTCCTGAGGTCCTTCCCAGGTGTGACCTCGCGGGGTCATGGCGCTAACCCGGCCGGGCGGTGGGGGGACGGCTGGTGGACCCGGTCCTGTTTGGTGTTCCAGCATCACCCTCGGCGGCTTCGGCGCGGACCGGTTCTACCTCGGCCAGTGGCGGGAAGGCCTCGGCAAGCTCTTCAGCTTCGGCGGCCTGGGGATCTGGACGCTGATCGACGTGCTGCTGATCGGCGTCGGCTACGTGGGGCCGGCAGACGGCTCTCTGTACATTTAGCGGCGATCGTGCTTCAGGGGGAGCGGCGCCTGGAAGGCCTCGGCCCGGAGGAAGTGATGTCGCGAGTGCGCATTAGTATGTGTTTAATGTACAGCATCTGTACTTGGCCTGCCTTGATGAAGGTAAAATTACAAAAGAAAAAAACACTGCACCGTGCTTCTCCGGAATTCGGTTTCATTTGCCTGAGATGTATTTTTTTCTGTGAAAAAACTGGGACTCGATTAACCTGGAGGAACGAACTCTGCAGTGACTGGAAATCGGTTTCGTTCCCGTGACTTCGTTTTCTGTTGCTTAAGTCGAAGTGCATCGCTCGGATCTCGGCCAGGACGGGATGGGCCTGCAGGAGCCTTTCAGCTGTGACGCGGGAAGTGGGCGGTTTATTCTTTAGCCCAATAACAGACCACCCGCACTTCAGTGCTCCGTGAGTTTTGCGATGTCGTGTGTATGTCCGGTCTTCGTCTGTGACTGTTTAACGTGAACTAGAGCTTTCATGTCTGGTGGCTGTGGTTTGAACTTGATTAGTAATGTAAAAGGTTTGAGAGGACTGAAGAATTAATAAAGTTATAACTGGCTCTAAGAAGCATTGGAGACTGTTTTCTGTATTAATAGATTATCTTGAGTAATCGTAGCAGCTGTTACCATTAAGAGGTATAATGTGCCCCAGCCGGTTTGGCCTGGGGACTGAAGGGTCCTGGCTTCCATTCCGGTCAAGGGCACGTACCTCAGTTGCAGGCTCGATCCCCGGGACACAACCAGTTGATGTGTCCTCTCACATGGATGTTTCTCTCTCTGTCTCTCCCCCTTCCTTTCCACTCTCTCTCAAAATAATGGAAAAATGCCCTCAGGTGAAAATTAACAAAAAAAAAGGTGAAATGTGGTTTTTTCAGGGCATTGCTCCATTCCAACAATTGACCCTTGCACAGTACGGAGTGAGGGCGCCAATCCAGAGCGGTCGAATGTCCGAGTGTGAGTTAAGTCAGCCCTGCAGATACGGGGGTTCCCAACTGTGGATGGAAAATACAGTTGACCCTCGAGCAACACGAGTGTGAGCTGTGTGGGTCCACCTAACGTCTGCATGGCGGGGACCGCACAGTCCGGGCCCTTGTTCACTGTATTCACAGCTGGCTGGGTCGTTGGCGTACCGTGGAGTGTTCAGTGTGTTTTAGCACCACGAGTGTTTTTGAGTCCACAGATCCTTTATTGGAAAGAAAAGCAATTTAAAAAAAATTTTTTTAATTGATTTCCAGAGAGAGAGGAAAGGAGAGGGAGAGGAATTTCGATGTGAGAGCAAAACTTCAATCGGCTGCCTCCTGCACGCCCCCCACTGGGGATTGAGCCACAACCGACCGGGAGTCGAACCGGCGTCCTTTCAGTGCACGGGACACCGCCCCACTGACTGAGCTACACCGGCCCAGGCTGGAAAAGCAGTTACTAACCCAACGTGGGCTTACAAAGGTCTCTTACGAAACGCTCCAACTCGGCGTTTTCCTTTCGAATTGGGCATCCGAACAGGCAGAGGGTTAACCAGCCCGTCAGGCTGGGAAGCTGTGGAGTAATTTGGGAGAATATCTCCAAAAATCTCGTGGGATTTTCTTCACCAGGTTACTCATCGCCGTTTACCTGAAAGGGGACTGGTTCCCTCTGGGGATACCTGGCCCGATCGGCTCAGGTGTCTTGGTGTCGCCGAGCCGCAGTTCCAGCTCCGGCCACTAGGTGGCGCATCCCCATTACATTTGCTCTCTTGGATCAGCCCCACAACACAGACCTGCTGGCCGGAGCTCTGAGTCCTGACTCCCAGCTCCCTGGGGCTCTGAGATGGGGGTGTCCCTGTCCCCCTGAACCCCGACTCCAGCCCGCTCTCCCCTCCTACAGGCTCTGACTTCATCGGGTGACGGTGCAGTCGATGATGTGTCAGCTCAGCCAGAGCGTTTCAATGGCTGATGATGCTGTAACCGGGGCCATTTTGCTGTCATTGATCCCCAGGCGCCTGTGTGAATGGCTCGGGCTCCCTGTGGGTGTGAGGCTGGAAGGGGCCGTGACCTGAGCTGGTTTCATAGGGACGCGACGGTCACACTCACCGCCGAAGCCCTCCCACAGCGGCCCGTGGGGCGGCCCATCCTCAGGCAGGGAAGCCACGAGGCACCAGAGGAGCGGGGAGCGGGGTGTGGGAGGCTGTGGGTAAGGATGAAGTTGTCCCCGATAGAGGGCTCATTTGTAAGTGAGTGATGGCCGTTACCTGGAAAATGAGATTCCGGCGCCTCCCGCCAGGGCTGAATTAACGAGGTGTCACTTGGGTGAACTCACTCTTTTATCAAGATCTCCGTTATGACGTCTAATCGGAGCCCCATAGACACAGCGCCCAGGGCCCTTCATCCCGCAATTAGCACGTTCGGCTGTTTCTAGGATCCCCAGTGCTCGTGAGCCGTCACCATAGCACACAGCTCACACACATGCTCACATGCACACACACATGCTCACATTCACACACGTGCACACACTCAGCTCACACACATGCTCGCATTCACACACGTGCACTCAGCTCACACACATGTTCATATTCACACACGTGCACACACTCAGCTCACAACACACACACCTGCTCACATTCACACTCAGTCTCACACACACACACACACACACACACACACACACACAAAACTTTCCGTCAGTACCTGCTCTTATCAGCCAAACACCCCAGGAAAACTATGGCACCAGCCAGGCCTGCGGGAAGAGCACTAGGCGTCCCTGGTGGGTGGAGCCGGGAGCCGGGCCTGTCGGTAGGAATTCTTCCTGACAGTTCAGATGAAGATGCGGCCCCAAAGCAAGTGTGTGTCCGCTATGTGGTGCATGCTCCACACGGGGCGGGAAACCCTTACACGTGCAATTCCAAGTTAGGATGGGCGCTGGCCTGGCATTTATCCTGGTTCTGTCACAATCCAGCTGGGCAACTGTGAGCATCGATCGCAGTTGGTGGCTTTGAGCAGCAAGTAGCAGAATATAATGCCATCGCGTGCAATACATGAGCTGTTACCTAATCCAACAAGAAGCAGGGCGGCCTGACCGGCGTGGCTCAGTGGTTGAGCGTCGACCTATGAACCAGGAGGTCACAGTTCGATTCCCAGTCAGCGCACATGCCTGGGTTGCGGGCTCCATCCCCAGTGAGGGGGGTGCAGGAGGCAGCTGATCCATGATTCTCTCATCATGGATGTTTCTACCCCTCTCCCTTCCTCTCTGAAATTAATAAAAACATATTTTAAAAAAAAGAAAAAGAATGGGGCATCGTCTCTAGACATCTGGCCCCGTACCTGCCGCACCGCCTCCATCTCTAAGGCACAGAAACTCGAGCCCTCCGGCTCCCTCGGAACTTCCTGTGGCCGTGACGGGCCAGCACGGGGGCCTGAGGACCCGTAACGGATGAGCAATCAGTGTGATGAGCAGAAAGAACTAGGAGGTGAGCCCATCGTCGGCAAGCAGAGCCTCGCTCTCCATCCCCAGCGAGGTCCTTGGGACATCCTTCATCCGTGCCCTGGGGGCCTGGGAGATGGCCAGACGCCCCCGCGTGCGTGTGGTTAGCCAGAAGTGCCCCTTAAATTCCTCCTGCAATCCAGGGGCCGTATCTGGTTGGCTGTCTCGGTCAGCTTTAGGATATTGGTTTGGAAAAGGCTCATAAATTTTCTTTTCAATTTGGTTTCTGTGGCTTTTCTATTGCAGCGTGCCCCTGTAGACTGGCTGTGCCTGACACTCGAGTTACGGAGAGGAATGCGAGGCGGAGATGAGGCCTCCAGCCCGGCCCGCGTGGCTCAGTGGTTGAGGGTGGACCTATGAACCAAGAGGTCAGGGTTCGATTCCCGGTCAGGGCACATGCCCGGGTTGCAGGCTCCATCCTCAGTGTGGGGCATGCAGGAGGCAGCCAATCCGTGATTCTCTCTCATCATTGATGTTTCTCTCTCTCTCCCTCTCCCTTCTTCTCCATTCTTTTTGGGGTCCATTGTGGTCTTAGAGGTGGGCATCCACATGGGAGGGTAATGACCCCCAAGGAACCCCATATGTTGGTGCAGTAAATGTGCGGTTGGCAGTTCCTGCTTGGGGACCGGAGTCTCTGTAGACTTGAAGTCCAGGTTCCCATGGGTTCTAAATGGGCTTTTATAGCCGAGACCGGGCCCACGGCTCTTTTCGGAGGCCGCGTCCGGCCATTCGCAGCTGTGAGCAAACACCCAAACCTCAGCTCCCACCGAGCACCAAAGGCTCCCCGCCCGGAGGCCGGCCCAGCAGCGTCGGTCGAGCTGCTCCCAACGGGGAGTATGTGACACCCATAAATCACTGCTTTCCGGGGAGGGAGGGACAGGTGAGCCACGGGAAGGGTTTTTTCGGGGAAGAGGAACAGTCCTCGGCTGATGCCTCCAGAAGTTTCCAAGGATGGCCCGCCTCCTCCCCGCAGGAAGTGCCCTGCGCTTTTCCTCGCTTCCCTGCCAACTCTCCTTCCTCTTCACTGGAACGAAGGGGGCTCGCTGCGTCCCTCACTCGCCCTCGTCTCCGCGACGTTTTTTCCATATTGTGATTTGCAGACTGGCTCTCCCCGCTGATGACTTTCTTTCTTTTTTTTTTTTTTTTTTAGAGAAAGAGTGGAAGAGGCTGAGAGAGAGAGAAACATCCACGATGAGAGAGAATCATGGATCAGCTGCCTCCTGCCCGCCCCACACTGGGGATCGAGCCCGCAACCCGGGCATGTGCCCTGACCGGGAATCGAACCGCGACCTCCTGGCTCCTAGGTTGACGCTCACCACTGAGCCACCCCGGCCGGGCTGGACGCCCCTTCTTTCATCCTCGGCTCCTCCGAAGTGCACTCACCTCGGGACCATTGTCCCACCACCACGGCCCCTGTGCCGGTCCCTGTGGTCACTGCCTCGTGTCTGGATCACCTCGGACCCTCCAGTGGCCTCCCGTGTCCAACGTGTCCCTGCAATCTTGTCCAGCTCACACACAGACCCTGACACAGAGGCTCACGTGTCCCTGTGCTCTGCCAAGTCCCTCCCCCCCCCCCAGCTCCCTGGCTCCCACTGAGACAGGGCCACAGCCCCGAGGGTGACAGGCCCGCGTGACCCACCCTACCCCCCAGGGGCGTCATCCCCCCTGGCCCTGCTCCCCACGTGGCTACCTCCAGCCCCAGGGCCCGCTGCCCCCTCCAGGGCTTCCGACTTCATTTCCTGAGTCTCTCACATGTCACCAGGGCGGAGGGCCCCACCCTCCCCGCCAGCCCATGTAATTGCTGCCTCCCGGGGCCCCTCTGTCCTCTTTCCTACGGCAGCTTCCTCTCCATCACGTCTCCGTGTGTGTGTGTTTGCACGCTCCCATTTCATTAAACACCCTGTTTACGTCTGCCTCCCCGTGAGAGCCAAACAGAATGTCCACCCGAGAGAACAGGGCGTGGGTCTGTGTCGCTCCCGCCTGCGTCCCCGGGGCCCAGTTCCCGGCCACCACAGCGCTGCCGAGCGAGGGAGCAGGGGGCTCAGAGCGGCTGCCCCACGCCCAGCCCGGTACCGCGTCCCAGGACGGATCCACGGGAGGGAAAAGGTGCCCCAT